AACAAAAGAAAAAGAAAAGCAGAAACGCAAAACAAAGAATCATATAGGCAAGTACTGTTGGAGGGTAGTTTTTTTTTTTTTTTTTTTACAAGCTATTCTAGTTACATATTTTAGAAAGAATTATAATGGTGATTATTGATCTGAACGTCATTCTAGTTTATAATTAATCCGCACTTATTTTCAAATCAGTTGACGAAAGTTCAAACGACAATAACAATGAAAACCTCGATACATTACTCGATAGGAACAATTGGAAGAGATTACTAAAAGAAGCGGCAAATCTCGACGGACACAAAATGCTTTTTATACTGTGAAATCGTAAAAATTAGTGAGGGTAAATCAAACATCTGAACAAATACTCAAGAAATCACAACATGCCTCTTTTAATATTATACAATATATTAGATTGGAATGTTGGGGCGTAATAAGATGTGGGTTGAACATTTCCAGACCAAAGTGGTGTACAAAAACTGTTTACAATGAAATACAACAAATCTGTAAGAGAAGGATTCCATATAAGTCTCCAGGAATATTAAAGGATCTTGTCAAGCTGGTATTACTTTGAGAATTTCGTTTTTTTTTGCTGTTGTTAGAATTGAGACATTCCTAAATATAATTATTTTTGTTCACAGAATAATACGAATGAATTGGAAAATAAATTGAAAAGTATTAATCAGAGACTTGAAGACCCAATTACAACCTTTTCGATAGAAATTTTAATATACTTGTAAGTAGAAAACTTACTTGAACTACTATTTTTGCTGTAACTAATTCTCAATTTTTTAACCATCCATAGATTTGAATTTGTCTACCCTGACGGAACTATAATACAACGTGGAAATATATCCGAAAGCACATATAGATTGTATGTAATAGATATGTGTTTAATGAAACTTCTATCTGGACTACAAGCTGATTTGATATATAAACCGTAAGTGTTATTTTTAGACATTATCTTAATTAATAGTACTAACCTTTCTTTTTATATAAGGGGAGAAATAGCTTTATCAGCAATCGAATCATATCGTAGAAGGAAAAAAGAAAGTTATTACGAACAAAAATCAGATGGTGTTTTCTTATTGTGCCTAAAAAATCATTATATTGAAATTGGTCATGTTGAAATAAGTGGCGGTTATGGTTGTATAGATAAACCACGATCCACCTGGGATCATCTTAAAGGCGCGGTTGGAAATTTTTATATGTTGTGAGACATATCATATTGTTACAAAAAGGCTTCCCACAAAACTTTTTCAAAAATCCAAATGTCTTTTTTACATGGATTTGGTAATTATCTTTCAATTAAATACTTTAGTGTCATTTCTTGATATTTAATTATTTCTACAATCTATAGACGATCGTTTATAATTTTGGAGAATGTCTAATCCTGCAACTGGTGCAAAGAAACAATTCAATAATGAACATTTCGATATGTAACGTTTGATTATCGGAAATTAGCAAGTGTTGAAGCACGCACGCTACTTTATCACTTACAGTCATTCTCACACATTCCTCGTGTTCACAAGGCTAATATGACCAAGATTCCCCTGATAATACAATGATGCAATAGAATTCAAGGAGGGGCCACATGGACTTGAAGTTCATCAAAAGATTGCATCATTTTCAAGGATATCCTAATCATCTTTTCTCGCAGCACCTGGACTGATATTACCTAAATATGCATGTTAGCTGAAAAGTTGTTTGTAATGAATGATCCTCCTATTTCTAGGATAAAGATGGCTGACTCTGCAACCAAAAATTTGCAACTCTGTTGAAGAATTGATCAGCAATCAATGCTCATATGGTAATAAGCCAAGTCTTGTCTGAGGGAAAATTTTTGCCAAACTTATAAAAGTCTTCCAACATGTTCAGGTTGGTTTCACTCATGGAAAAATTCCATGTGGCTGAAAAGTGCTGAATTGCACAACCCTGCATGTCTGTAATAGGGAATTTTTATTAAATCTGACACCTATGATCAACATCAGATTTATTATTCATGAGGAACCATAATTGTAATCAGGAAGAATAATTTATTTTGTGAACCCCAGAGATCTGGGTAGATAGGGATGGGGCGGTTCCGCTCCGCTCCATTCGGCTCTTATGGAGCGCCGCTCTAATAGGTGGAGCGGTTCTTAGAGCCGCTCTCCATTACACAAAAATCAAAATGTTTCACAGAAAAAAAAATACAAAACTTCGGCGACGAATAAACATTTTGATATAAGAAGGTGACGAATAACACATGTTTTTAGTGTGACAATTAAACTTGGCATATTAATATAAATTTTCCAAAAACAATAAGATATCACTATTATTTATTGTTTTTGGGAATTTGAGATGTTTGAATAAAAATCATTTGTCATTTAATAGCGAGTCCACTACTTTTAAAGGAAATAGTATCACATAAATACAATAAATTTAGTAATTTGTTGCAAAATAAATATATAGCAATAGTAATAGTAATGTGTTACAAAAAAATTTTAATTGAATTTAGCAATGTGTTGCGAAAATAAGATAATCGAATTTAGCAATGTGCCGTGAAGATAAAGTAAGTAATCGAATTTAGCAATGCGTTGCAAAAAAATTTTAATTGAATTTAGCAATGTGTCACAGAGATAAAGTAATCAAATTTAGCAATGAATGTGTCGCGAAAATAAAGTAATTGAATTTAGCAATGTGTCGCGAAGATAAAGTAATTGAATTTAGCAATATGTCGTAAAAATAAAATAATTGAATTTAGCAATGTTTTGTGAAAATAAAGTAATTGAATTTAGCAATGAATGTCTCGCAAAAATAAAGTAATTGAATTTAGTAATGTTCCATGAAGATAAAGTAATTGCCAACTATTATAAAAAGGCTGGTATCCAAACCAACTCAGAAGTTTTCTCACCTTTGTTTTAATATTTATAATTAATATTATATAATAAAATCAATAAACATAAATTTATACCTTTTTTAAAAAAAAATGGATGAACAAATACAAGAAATCTTTGATGATCAAGAAATAGGCAACTTCCACTGAGAGAATTTTTACATCAACTCTGATGAATCAATTAGTCATGTCTTTACTGATGTGCAGTCGGAAACATCAGATGCTTCTACCTCATCAAAGGAAAGCACTATGTGGAAATATTTTTATAAATGGCCATCCTTTGCACCTGAACATAATGTTTGTAAAACATGTTCAACAAAGTATGAATTAACAACAAGTGTGACAACCCTTCGTAAACACCTCAGGCAACATCAATTATATGCACCTCCCAAGAAACAGAGTACTATGACCAGAATGGATCCTTTTAATCAGCAGGAACAAAATGAACATACTAAATATCTTGCTCAATGGATAATTTGTGACCTCCAGCCATTTACTGTTGTTGACA